CAATAGTAGACTAGGGTGACTATAGTTACCAACAGTATATTGTGTATTTCAGATTAGCTAGAAGAAAGGACTTGAAATGTTCCCAACACAAAGAAATGATAGATGTTTGAGGTGATGGATACCTTAAATACCCAAATTTGATCATCACATGTAGTATGCATGTATTGAAATATCACATATACCCCATAAACATGTACAATTATGTATCAATTTAAAAATGTTTTAAAATAAGTTGGGGAAAGCTTCTAATTCTCTGATTCTGCATTCTACCACTCCCCCTGCTGTGGACTTACAGGAGTGTTGCGTAGATTGAATTGTTTTTCTAAAGCTTTCTCTCCAAGCTCTAAATATCTTATGACTGGTTCTGAACATGTACCTGCCTCCAGCTACGACCATAAACAGCTGAAGAGACACTGACAACACTGCTCATTGACTCCGGCATGCGTTCTCCTTTCCGTTTGTGTCTCCTCCCCCGAAATGAGCTTAGGTAGATTTAAATTTTAATCAGTTAGATCAGTTGTTCTTAATGGGAATTTAAATTGAACTAGAGAATAAAAGCATTAGGGGGGCTGCTGGTTGCTTAGCTGGAACCTTTGGGCGACAGAGGTGGTTGCATGCTGTGATGTGATACTCAGTGTAAGCCCTTTTTGACTGCATCTCCAGAGATCTGTTGGTGATAAAGTTTTTGGAGCAGATAATTTTCTTTGACCTTAGTCTCTTAAATTGGAGAAGGAAAGCTTTCTAAGAAGTGATCTTGATCCAGTTCTTAGATCAGTGGGACATCCAGGTCTGTGGTGGTCACCTATGGTCACCTTCACCCTGGGCCTGGATGACCAAAGTAAGGAAGGGAGGGGGGAGTGTATGCTGGAAAATGTCTCTTACCTCTAACCCCCTCCCCACTTTGAGCCTTCCCATGCATAGCGGAAAGGCAGACAAGGACACCTTTAATTTTTAAAATCCTGAATATCCTGTATCTTAAACACAAAAGATAAGAGTGTCTGTGAAGACAGAAGGGGATCCTTTGAGCCCCTTGATGGCAATAACTGAACCTTCAACCCTGGAGAAGAGGAGACCAATTTGATATTATGGAGGCAGAATATACAGAACTGTGTGACTAATTCAACATGTGTTTCCATGGAGCCTGAAGGGGACAGAACCACAGGTGCAAATCTGGTGTAGGTACTTGGCTGTGAGTTTGGTATGAAAGCCTTCTGGGGCACCTTTACCTGCAATAGATAGCGTGGTTCATCTTCACCAGGATTCTACTCAGAACTCTTACAAGTGGTAACAAGAGACCTGAGGTAGAAGTACCTAATTGTTACATCAATGTCAAAGGCGAAAGTTACATTTGAAACATTTTTTCCCCTCCAATCAGCTGTTGAGATTTTCACATTTGTGAAATTAGTAAATCCTTTCTGAAGGTAATCTCTAGTTTTGGATTTTACCATGCCTAAAAGTAAGTTCATATACTTTATTAGTCTTTACATATACCTCTTTATATTAGACTGAACTTGCCCCCTTGTTATACTTCAAGAAGCCCCAGCCTTTTCTGGGATTTAATGGCAATACATATGTGATCTAGTACCTTGTTACTTTCCCAGGCATTTAGTCTGGGAACCCTAATCTTGAGTGTGTCTACAGTGGATATTTTTCTCTAGGACAGGAACCAAATGGACTATTTACTGGTCTGCCCGGTAGGTCACCACAGACATAGCCTAGTGGTCTTTGGCCCATCTTCAGTAGTTGGCAACTGACTTTTTAGGCAAAATGCCTCCTTTTGTGTAAAGGAGAGATGCCTGTCCCCACCTGCAGCCCCCAATTCCTGCTTTAAGGCCAGCAAGCTGTCCCGAGAGGTCTCCTTGTAGATGAGTGAAATCCACCCAGAGAAACTCAAGTAAAAATATGGGGTGGGGTCTGGGAAGAGCTGCGTTTATTATAAGGATCCAGAGGGACCTGGGAATTTAGGATAGGGAACCACTGTGGATGGGATCGGAGCCAGAGCAGCTCTAGGCCCTAGTTGTTCTCCTCTGTCTCTCTGCTTTCTTTTCCCACTCTCTCTGGAAGTACTTACTCTCATTCTACTCCTCCTTTCTTTCTCTCTCTCTCTGTGTCATGCTTGTAGTGGTGATGTTTTGGTTGTAGTCACGTTCTTGGGTCCCTCTTATTACCGACTGCCTGTGTCTTCCCCTCTCCTTTAGCCCTTACTTGGTTCTTTTCCCACCCAACCCGCCAAAACTGGCAACCAGTTTCCTCAGAACTTGTTATCTGGCTTGTAATTGCCCAGACTTCAACGCTCAAATGACCTTTTTGCTCTAAAGCCAGTGGCCATCTGGCAGTAATCTCCCAGTATAAAGGATTCTGAGTTCCCAAGAGAGCATCTAGTTGGCTCCCCTTGCCTTCCTGAGCCTGCTACATCATTCCTGGGCTGCTGGCCAGCCTAGGATTGGGTCCCCTCAGGTCAGACACACCCTGGGCCGGTTAGCAGCCAGCAGTGGGGGCAGGGTAACAGAGCCTCCTGCCTACTTAACAGGAGCTGTGGTTGGGGGCAGGAGTTACCAGATACATCTAGCACAACGAACCATATCCTAGAACCCTTCAAACTAACATATGCCAGGTAGGTGTAAGCGTCTGTACTAATTTAAAAGTATACATTTCTAAGGTAATGAGTTCAGCATCTTGTGGCCATACCAGACATGGCATGGAATTAAACTTTCAGTCCCACTGTTCATTTTATTCACACATTAGGGTGGCAAGGGTGGTCTTGCTCATTGCAAACAAAGTCATCCTGGTGTATGAAGTGAAGAACGTGGACTGTGCAGTTTTCCCAGTCGTGAAGACTTTTGATACATCACTTGAAATGTTTCCCCTGAAGTTGAGGGTCTTTGGTAATATCACCAGGGCAGTGAATGACAGAGACCAGATCATGAATTGCTTCATTTACAGACTGCCTCCGGGCTTCGCTGCACTCTGGCTGCTGATACCACACCCGGTGTCCCTTGTGGTCTTAAGTCACAAAACCAGCTATTAGATTTGCCTGGAGTGTCTGAAAACAGGCTTAGAATGAGGAAACCTTGTCCTACTTTTATACAACTGGAAAACATTACAGAACTTGACTTTTTGAAAATTTCCCAAAAAAAGGAAAAGAAAAACCCACAAACCCCAGCTTGTACAGTTTAGTTACAGGGAAACCCAGAGATAGAAAAAGTGAACTTGCTTCCTCTTCACAGGTAGTTTTGCTTTAGAAAATGTGCCTCAAAATTCAGTGCCTACAAATACAAGAAAAGGGGTTTGGTTTTGCTTCTAATACTGTAAGTAAAACTACTCTTGAATGTTTCGGAGCTCATCAAAATTGACATTTATTCTCTTTTTCTACTTTTATCTACCTGAGTATTCTCATTATCTCTCTAGCTGTGAGAAACTCTCATCTTCCCATGATCCCAATTTAGGTGGGATCCAGTTCTGACAACATGAGTTAATCATCACTAGAAACATTGGCAAGAGCTGGGGATGTTTGTATTCCTCTGGGACAGCTTAGCATCTCTGGGTAAATATTCCAGTCCAACTGACTGCCTTCCCCAGGCTGTCCTTCCCCAAACTTCCTCTCATAGAGGTAGGAAGAGCCAAAAGCAACTGTTAGGTCCCTGGTAATTTACAAAGCAAGGATGATACTTCAAAACAGTTGGCTATATAATGTATTTCTTCTTGCAAAATTATACAGTTGGTATTCAGTAATATGTTGACATATAATGTATTTCTTCTTACATAATTATATAATGGCCATATGACTGTTTATGTCCTCAAAGTCCAACCAGATTACTTTTTTTTTTTTTAATACTTTAAGTTCTAGGGTACATGTGCACAACGTGCAGGTTTGTTACATATGTATACATGTGCCATGTTGGTGTGCTGCACCCATTAACTCGTCATTTACATTAGGCATATCTCCTAATGCTATCCCTCCCCACCCCCTCCCCACAATAGGACCCAGTGTGTGATGTTCCTCTTCCTGTGTCCAAGTGATCTCATTGTTCAATTCCCACCTATGAGTGAGAACATGCGGTATTTGATTTTCTGTTCTTGAGATAGTTTGCTGAGAATGATGGTTTGCAGCTGCATCCATGTCCCTACAAAGGACATGAACTTATCCTTTTTTATGGCTGCATAGCATTCCATGGTGTATATGTGCCACATTTTCTTAATCCAGTCTGTCACTGATGGACATTTGGGTTGGTTCCAAGTCTTTGCTATTGTGAATAGTGCCGCAATAAACATACGTGTGCATGTGTCCTTATAGCAGCATGACTTATAATCCTTTGGGTATATCCCCGGTAATGGGATGGCTGGGTCAAATGTATTTCTAATTCTAGATCCTTGAGGAATCGCCACACTGTTTTCCACAATGGTTGAACTAGTTTACAATCCCACCAACAGTGTAAAAGTGTTCCTATTTCTCCACATCCTCTCCAGCACCTGTTGTTTCCTGATTTTTTAATGATTGCCATTTTAACTGGTGTGAGATGGTATCTCATTGTGGTTTTTGTTTTTTTTTTTTTTGTGGCCAGTGATGATGAGCATTTTTTCATGTGTCTGTTGGCTGTATGAATGTCTTCTTTTGAGAAGTGTCTGTTCATATCCTTTGCCCACTTTTTGATGGGGTTGTTTGTTTTTTTCTTGTACATTTGATTGAGTTCTTTATAGGTTCTGGATATTAGCCCTTTGTCAGGTGAGTAGATTACAGAAATTTTCTCCCATTCTGTAGGTTGCCTGTTCACTCTGACGGTAGCTTCTTTTGCTGTGCAGAAGCTCTTTAGTTAAATTAGATCCCATTTGTCGATTCAGATTACTTTTAAAAGAAATTTTAGCAGTTTGATTGCCAAATTCCTGTGATCTGCATGTTAAGAACTCTGTGACCTCTAGTCTTAGAAGTTCTGGTCCATGACACAGGTTGTTATGCAAATGAAAGACAAAGAGAAATGTCTTCTGCTTGTTCTCCTCTTCAGAATAAGAAGATCTACTTGGACATTATTCACACATACATGGAAGTGCATGCAACTGTTTATGGCTCCAGCACAAAGAATATTCCCAGTTACGTGAAAAACCATGGTATCCTCAGTGGACGAGACCTGCAGTTTCTTCTTCGAGAAACCAAGGTAAAAATTCACCAGGAATGTGGTGTTCAGGTTAATGCCATTGGCTGTGAAAATGTGATCAGAATATTTCATGCTTGTTTTTTCAATGCTGCAATAAACTCTTTTGGCTATTTTGGGGCAGCAGTTTGCTAGACCAGTGGCAGCTGAAAAGTTAGTGAATTGTGGAATGAGATTGCTACGTTTGTCCATTGATTTATTCAAAAATCGTATTTACTCAGTGTTAGGTGTCAAGCAAGGGGCTAGGGATAAGGCTGCAAATGGAAAAGGTAAGGCCCTGCCTGGAAGGACAGACCTTCTAATACAGCAGCAGCTTTCATAGTAAGGCAGGGGTGCTGAACTCTCCCCCAACCCAGTCATCACCATTCAAGGAGTGGGTTTCCCAACCAGCTTTTCCTCATACCTCCTTGTTCACCAAGTACGCATTGGACAGTGAAGAAGTTCAGATGAGGGCAAAGTCCCTGTGGGCTCGGGAAGAAGAGCAAGCATCAGGAGAGATGCAAGAGACGAAAGATGGATGGAGTGTAGACACACCTGGCATGTGGGCCAGACAGGAATTAGAGTCAGGTGGTGGAGGTACAGATGGCATATTCAGGAAGGAGCTAGAAGCCAACCCAGCTAGTCTAAGTGTTGAAAAATAGTGGAGGTAAAATTGGATGAGGGGATGTGAGGGTCTGATTGGCACAGATGGAGGCAGAGTTCAGACCATGTGGTGGAGGTAGCCAGGCAAGCCCCTGAGGATCATTTTGCTCAGCAGTAGCGTGATGACCCGTTGCTTTGACACTGTAGGGAAGTCCACCCAGTGGTCTGTGTTCTTTCTGTAATTCTGCCATGGAAGTACCAAATGAAGTTCAGGAACTTGTGAAGAAACCAAAGTTTGGCCTTGAAGGGTTGACTGGCACTTCAGTGTATTAGATAAATTCCCTCAGGTTTATTAATAAGTTTTTGTTCATGAATTTCACAAATATTTATTGAGTAGCTGCAATGTGCTAGGCGTTGTACAAGGGTTGCAAGTGTGAAGAAGGCACGTGGATCTCTCTCGTGGTATGTCCTAAGCACAAGGAAGCTTATTGTCAGTAGTGGATTTCTCAGCTCTCGTCTCTGGCTTGCTTTGTTTTCATGTTCAAGGTAGGGGAGAGAGGTTGAGCAGGTGGACTTCTATGGCATATCTCGATTGCCCAATCATCATGTAATACTGCATTTATAAAAAGTGTATTCATATATGCTAGCCTCTTTGATTCTTACAACAGCCTTAAGAGGTAGATAGAGCAGGTATTATTGTTAACTTTGTTTTGAACATGAGGAAATAGGCTAGAGACTTTGGCTTGCCCACAGTAAGCCAGGGTCGTCTTGGAGGTGGCCCTAACTCATTTTTTTAATTGCAAATTAAGGCTCTGCTAGCCCCTTGATGTACTGTCCTCATAAACACTCAAACTTAAGAATGCTTAGTGGACACCCACTAGCCAAAAGAATGTATATCTGCTCTTTGCCTCAGTTTCTCCACCTGTAAATGTATTTGATCCTTTCTATGTCCAAGGCATTTGTATGATGCCACGAATAAAATAATTTGACAGATTCTTTAGCTTATTGGGCAAAGAGCTGGTTTCTTTTAAGATTTTATTTCCTTCCAAGGTCATCTGTAGTCTGATGACTGTTTTTGATTATCCAGGAGTGAAGTGTGTTCTCTAGTTTTCACTCTTTGCTTTCCATCACCTTCTGTCTTAGGCTGACATTTTAGAATCATCAGAATGCCTGGGCCCTTTAATGGCAGTGCTATTTTTGCCATTTGCCTCATTTTACTTTTTTTCACATCGGATTGTGGAAAGAGCTCAAGCTCCTTTAAAAAACATTTGGCAGAGCTGGTTCTCAGCAGCATGTCATTACTGTCTCGCACACTTTTATTAACCCAACCTCATGAATGTCTCTCTCAGCTTTGCGAATTTTAAAAGAACCCTTACTTACCTACCATCCATTACCCTGTCAGGGAGTAGGAAATAGGCCAAAATGGAGATCACTGATGTCCAGGGGAGGACAAGAAAAGAGGCAGGGAAGGCCCAGGCCAAGATGTCCAAGTTTGCTTAATGAGCAAGGATTGCAGCCTCAGTTAAAGAGCACGAGGGGTATATGTTCATCCTTGAAAAACTGGGACCCAGTGTAGAGGATGTCACTGATCCCATTACCTATTGCCTGCTCCTTGAGTAGAGTATATTAAAATACTCTGAGTGGAATCATGGCTCAGACATTTGGCAAATATGACAAGGATGGGGCAGCATATCGCTGAGGCTCCCCTCACACCCGGCACATGGCCACAGGCTCCAAAATGTGTGAACCTTCGGCTTTGAAATAATGACATGAAAGACCAGTCAGGCTTTGCATCTATAACCCTTTCTGTCTCTGACTCCTTTCTCTGTGTCTCTGAGCAATTTAAAAGTGATTTATTCCAATCCACGTTGGAAATGGGGACCTGGAGCTGCCAAGAAGCAAATGTCTGCAGCATGAATGGGATTCACACACTTCTTGGACTTCTTACTGGTGCGAGAAGCAAGGCTGATCTCCTCAAGAGGGTTAGAGACAGAGATGATTGATGATTGATCAGCTTCTGACTCATTGTTTTTCTTTACAAACCATCTGCGAATCTCTGCACCAAACTTAGGAAACCCCCTGCTCAGCAGAATTTTGTCCAGGCGTGCCGTTAGGGGTGCAAGTGTCATCAGTAGCCTCTTCCTTCAGGGGACCTGTGAAGATGGAAGGAATTGAATATAACACTATTTCTGGGGCTAAAAGAGCCAGGAAGTTGTTGGAATCTAGCAGACTCTTCTAGTTGGGGTATAGATTTGGATGAATGAATTACTTATCACAGGACCACAGCCGAGTCATTCAGTCCAGCAAACCCCAGGAGTACAGTTTAAGCCAGCAAATCAGGACTCACTAGGGTGGCATGTTTTTATTTTTGGTTTAAATCTCCATCTCTTTTAAAGTGGCTTCTTTCTTCATCTTCCTGGTTTTAACCTCTTCATGTCCACCTCCCCTAGTCTTCCCTATTTCATATATGATGCTGAATAGTGCATTTGCATCTGCAACTCACTGAATGGTTTGTGAGCTGGACCAGTACCGTCCTTTCTACAGGTGAAAACAAATTCTGGCTGTGGGGAAAAAAACAGGCAAAGCTGCAGCTTCCACACGTGCTGTCGCTGTACCCCTTCTGTACCCAGACCTCCACTCATTCACCTCTCCAAGACTTGGCTGGGTCATGACGGTCCTGTTTCCCCATCATGTCAGCTTATCAGTTTACCTGTGGGACTCACCTAGGAGCCTGGGCAGGCCTGGCAAATATGCAGTGCTCCCTCTGACTCATCTTATCCTCATGAATGACTGTGCCACCCTGCCCCCCACTAACTATGTCTCTTCTTACTGAGCTTGGATGTGTCACAAAACCTGTCTGAGGCGGGTGCGGTGCAGTAGCTCACACCTATAATCTTAGTACTTTGGGAGAGGCCGAGGCGGGCAAATTGCTTGAGCCGAGGAGTTCCAGACCAGCCTGGGCAACATGCAAAACCCCATTTCTACAAAAAAATGCCCAAAAAATTAGCTGTACCTGGTAGCATTCACCTGTAGTTCTAGATTTTCAGGAAGCTGAAATGGGAAGATCACTTGAGTCCAGGAGGCTGAGGTTGTGGTGAGCTGAGGATACCTGCACTCCAGCCTGAGTGACAGAGGGAGACCCTGTCTTTAAAAAAGGCTGTCTGAAAAAGCCAGGGCTTGAGGCAGCAGACTCTCAAGCAGCTGCATGAGGGCCAAGGGCCTTTGCTTGTTCTATCCACAGGTGCATTCACAGTGCCTGGTTTATAAAAGGCATTTAGATGATTGTATAAAGAAGGAAAGAAGGAGCCAAAATGAAACACATTGACCATCTGGGATCTCTGAGATTTCCTCCTGTTATCATATACGCTGCGCCTAGATCTCTTAGATCTCCCAAACTAGGGACACTACCCTTCTGATACCCCATGCCTGCCTGTCTGTGATGTTGCTTATATCTGCAGGCCCTGTGAGTGATAGCCCAAGAGCTTACTTCCTTAGAGGGAGCAGTCCTTCTATTTCTGTTACAGATACTGGTTCCCATTTGCCCTCAGGCAGCCAATTGAGGCAGGTTTCATCCTAGTGAGCATACTTCAAATCATTCCCATGCCATCTAGATGGGGAAAAAAATTGAATGAACACATCCATGCCTCCTTCCTTCCCCCTTATCCATACATGTATGTAGACTGAGGAGTGTACAGAGGTATGAGTCAGTAACCCTGTCTGACTTTCAGAGCAAAAGTGCATCCCCACACTCAAATAAATACATGTTCAACCTCTGTGCACAGAGACACTTGATTGCTGGAAAGATCCAGTCTCATAGTATTTATTCTTTTGCTCTTTCATCCAGCAAGTAAGTATAATATTAAGTACTAGATATATTCTAGGCCTTAGTCTAGCCATTCTAGAGACAGTGATGACTCAAGCAGTTTTGCCAACAAGGAGCATACAGGTGTGCTGGAAGAGGAAAGCAGGTAACTGTAACAATGTGGATCGTACACAGGTAGAACTAGTCGTAATATGAAATAATGATACCAACATAAAACTTTACTGTCACGCTGAGTGGGGCCAACAGTTCAGTTGTGTAAAATGTGGTTCTGTGACTTGTGAAATCAATGTAGTGGATGGGGCAGTCCCATTCAGAGGACAGGAGCCACTGTCAGTCACAGTTTAACACCTCCATGCTATTGCGGTGCACCTGCGTATGGGATTTACCGTAACAGTAACAGCCATTATCTCTCCCCTCTACCATGTGCTAGGCCCTATGCTAAGCCCTTTCTGTGTATTCTCTCTTTTCATCACAGAAATCCAGTAATCTTGGTACTGTTATAAACAGTACCATTTTAATGAAGCAGTCACTGAGGCTCCAGTCGAGAATAAGCCTGTTTTGCTGCCTCCGTGTTGGCAGCTGAGGGGTTGTCCTGGTGTGGAATTTGGGTGAGAGAGGCATGGTCAGGAAAGGGCCCTCCCAGGAGGTGATGCCTGAGTGGACTTTTAATGGTGAGCACTTGAGGCTGGCCTAGCTGAACATGTTCAGCATCTACAGGTTTAACTTTATGCAAATACTCTTTTACTCTCCCATCTCCAAGTTAATAAATTTACAATGTGAATTGTAATGTGTTTGATTTTATATTGGGGCTTTCAGATGACCGAAACTCAGGAACTTTTTATCCTGATGCTGTTGTTTGTGGTTTGGGTTTTTGTTTCTGAAAGGGTATTTAGGTAGCTGGACATAATCAGCCGGCTGGTCTTCAGGAAATAGTCTTTGGTTTAGCAGCAGACTTTGACAAAAGTCTGCTTTGGGCATGTAAACATGCTTCGTGGGTCTTCTTTTCTAAGCCTCTGTGGCCCTTCCAGCTCTTCCCTAGAGAGTCTTCAGGTCATGTGAGTCAGGGGCTTGTGGAGCCCTTGGGAGGATAGAGCCAGCCTGGACGGGAGAGAGTTTGGCCACTGTTTATCCCTTCCTTAAGCATCAGGTACCTGAAAGAAGGCGGATGGCCAGAGAAGGGTCCCTTTGGGCTACATAAAAGCATCACATTTTGGGAAGATTGTTTTCTTCATACCCAGCCCTTGTCTCGGTTATTTTTAAGATATAAAAGGGATGCCTATTACCAAAAACATTAATGTAATGATTCCCAGTCATTGTATAAAAATAAGCAAAGCTTAGCAATAGCATGTGACATGTGGGACTGGCTTATGTGGCATTCACTGTAAACCATATCATCTCTTATCTCTCTCTTCTGATGAATGTCCCTCCCCCTTTTTTAGTACAGATACTTTATGAAACAATAAGAACTCATACATGCAGGTGCTGAGCATCTTGTAAACCCACAAACATAACTCCTGCACACCTAAACTCTGTCTAAATGATACAGGGCCGTAATATGCAGCTGTGTGAAGTTACATATGGATTTGAATTTGAGTGACTGATTATCCAACACTTACTAAGCGCCAAGACTTGGAATGAATCCTTTCCATGTACTATCTCATGTAATCCTCACAGCAACCCCATGAAATAAAGCAGTATTATTTTATACATGAAAAGACTGAGGTTTAGCAAGCTTGTTACCTGGACTAAGGCCCTATAAATAGAATAGATTTATAAATGGGCCTTAAAGAATCCATAGACAGAAGCATCTAGCAATTTGTCACAGTTACTAACCTAGGCAACGATGGAGCCAGGCCTGTGAAGCCTACAGTCTGACTCCAGAACCTGTGCTGTAAATTACCACATTGTTCTGGGCACTTTGTGCCAATAATGGATTCATCAATTCATTTGGTGAACCGGGAGTGATTCATTGCTCAGTTTCCCTCTAGAGTCACCATGCCAACTTCACTAATTAAAACTGGCCAGAAAAGTATGTGTTGTGTGTGTGTTTCCTATTTAGGATTATCCTCAATGTTCCGCATCAAGAGTGAAACTGACCAAGCCCATGGATAAGAACCCCCTTTATCCATGTTTAAAGGATTCTTTAAGTACTCCACTTAGCAGTTTAAAACAATTGTGTCTTCTTTCACAGAGTGGGAAAAATCTGAGTGGTTTTACTAGACCCTTTATGGATATGTAGGAACGTCCCAATCCTATACTGTGAAGAAAACGTATGGTGCTTCATCTGTTCTCTCTGCTTAGCATTAGTTCAAAAATTTAATCCTAGATCCCACAATCCTTCTATGTAGAAATACTCACTGATGGAGCTGGAGTTGCAGCCATGGAGATATTTTGTCATCTGGAATATCCTCATTAGATTCTGGGCTTCTGAAGGCCAGGTGAAGTATAAATAAAATTTGGCCAGTTTTCTCCGGCAGAGTTAAGCCTTGGCACTTGAGAACATTCTGGCAGTGTGTCTCTTGCCTCCTTGCTAAGGAAATTGGTAAGCAGGCAGAATAGCAGGGAATTAGGGGAAAAGCAGTTCAGTGTGATTAAGGTGCCAGTGTGTTGCAAAACCATAAGTGCAAGGAAGTTTACAGAGTGCTGTTTGGTGGTGATGAACTCTCTCCACCTGTTGTGTTTTCATTCAAACCTCAGATGTGCTATTTGACCTTAATACATCTGCTCCATTGTAATGTCACAGGTAATAAGCACACAGGAAGCAAGAAAAAAATTGCTTACTGACTGAAGTGACAAAAAAACTGTTATTTTGGTGTTTCCAAATAATGTATTTCCTACAGTCCTACTTGTGTGACAAAAACACTCATTGCCAGGAAATTATGTTGTATTTGCTTAGGCTTCATTCTAAACATATGAGGCTTGGGAGAGTTAACCTAAAGTTTTTATTTTATGTGTACTGAGATATTCTGGTGCCCACAGGGCAGAAGAGATGGTTCATATTGTTATTCAGATATAATTAAACCTAGGTCACATTCAAGTCCATTAAGCAACAGCCTCATCCTTTTAATTAATGGGTTCAGATTGGTTGGTCTAAAGAAGCTAATTAAATTTTTCCCAAGATTTTCTATTTAAATAGACAAACATTGTGCTGCTTACATTTCCTCCAGAGTTGTTCTTTGAAATTTAGAGTTGGTGAAGGTATCCACACTTTATGGCAGGCCCTGATTTTCAGAGGTCAGGAAGCACTGTGGATTATCTGACTAAACCTGCAGAGATCCTGATCTGCATCTTCTAGCACTTTTCTCCTCAGTCAGAAAGATCTGGACTCCCTGTGCTATCTTATGTCTAACCATGGCCTGACAGAGGTCATTTGTTTTCCGCTGGAGAGCCAGCACATCCTCTCCAGAGTCTGATAGGAGAGGGCAAATCACAGAGATCACAAGTCTGATGGATAACAACCCTGGATTCTTCATATTCCATAAAGCTGGGATATCGTGGGACTAGTATATCCCACTGTTTCCCTCCGTTTCATCTGCAGCAGTCAGATCTCCCCCACCCGTGAGCCACATGCCCAGGCCACACCCTATAGTTAGAAGTTCTCTCTGACAGTCTGCTTTCTGTTAGCTGTATAATAAGAGTAAGATGCAGAGCAGGAGCTTCCTAATTGTAGTAGAACTTTCCCTTTATCCTACAGCTTCCAGGCTCCTGGCTACCATGTTTTCCTCACCACCACCCCCACCGTGATCTCCTGTGGTTCTGCTGCCCAAGGATGAAATGACCCAGCCAGTATTAGGGGCTCTGCTGACCTCTCAAAGCTTCTTTTCTTCCCAGCTCCCTGCCCTGTGGACGTCTCTGGCATTGTGATCACGCAGTTTGCAGGAAATGAAAGTTTATTCTTTCAAAAAACCAAAAAGATTGAGTACCCTATTGTGTGCAAAACAAAAGTAAATAGGTCCAGAAAACCTGAGATGTTAGTGCTTTGCCCCAGAATTCCTTCAGGAGCTACCTGGTTCTCCAGTATGTCACTCATGGGCTGTGCTCAGGGTTGGCCGCACCCTCCAGCTGAACCTTTCTAAACGATCAATTAGAGCAGCTGCAAAGCTGGTGAGGAGGGGATTGCTGTGAAAAGACCTAGGGAAAAAGAGAATCAAGCTTGTAGCTAAATCTATTTGAGCCATCTCCTTTATTCTCAACGCCTGGCCTTGTGGTGGGTGATGCTCTGTGTGATGGCAGAAGGAAAGGATGCCCTGGGGCCCAGTTATCTTTTCTCACTTAATGTGCCCCTGGGGGCTGGAACAGAACAAGCTCTTTGATGTGGGTAAGGAGGACACAGCTTCATCAAGCCCAGGCCTGGATCCTGCCCATCAACAACCTGCAGTTATCCAGCAGTGCGAAATGCACCCACTGTGACAGCATGTGCCGAGGCATTTCTGGGAGCAGTTATTTCATTTTTGTACTCAGGAAATCAGCACCACTGAACTGCAGCTTGTCCCCTTTGTCATCGTGGCTTCCAGCTGCTGTGGTTGCTCTGAGAACTCTGAGAGCAAGTTGTTGCTGCCATCTATGGTCTGTCTTGGGGGAAGCACATGGTTTGCCTGCTGGAGGGGGAAGCAGCTGCTTTGCAAATTCGTCAACACAGCACAGTCTCTCCCCTGTGAGGGTAAAATCAACACCAAGATGTTGGTGTCCCCAGTGTAAACCCCATTATGAAAACCTGTGTTTACTGACCTACCATCATTTTAAAGCAGTTCCATTTGAACTGCAATCAAACCTCCAAGTGACCTTTCTGTCCCTCCGCCCAGCATTCCTGAAAGGGCCTGTTGTTTCTTTGGTTCAATGAAGAAACCTTCTGTGTAGTTAAGCAAGTGTTTTTCCAGTCATGTCTCCTGGTGAGTTACAGAAAGATTATTGTTGGGTCGTGGCGGTTTTTCTTTTAATACTCCAACCTCCCTACCCCCCTGATACCCCTAGACACTTAAATTTTTTACTTCCTTTAGTGGAGGAGAGCATAGTGAGTTGAGCAGCTTTGTGGGGCCTTTAAAAGTTCGTAGTTTTTCAGATCCTGGTGTAAGCTGAGTTCTCTCTGCCTCACCCCCAGGGCCTGGGAGCCTTCCAAAGTGAGGTGTCCACTCGGGAATGGGCACAGAATCGCCGCCTGCAAGCCGGGAATGCCTGTCCTGCCTGATGGCCCTGCCTGATGTGTTCATATGCTGTATGGTTTTCTGTCTTACAGTTATTTGTTGGACTTGGGTTCCCTTACGAGGGCCCGGCTCCCCTGGAGGCTATCGCAAATGGATGTGCTTTTCTGAATCCCAAGTTCAACCCACCCAAAAGCAGCAAAAACACAGACTTTTTCATTGGCAAGCCAACTCTGAGAGAGGTAAGCATCTATCAAAATTATTCCACTTTGAATAATATGAATAATAGCTATTTATTGAGTGCTAATGTGGGCATTAACTTCATTTAACATGGTTGGATGAGAGGCTGAGGGTGTGGAGGCTCAGAGAGACAAATGACCCGATCATGTCACCTTGCGAGTTAGGGGCAGGATTTGAATCTACTTCTGCCTTCAGCAAATAAGGGATCTTTACACTCTACCCCCACTCTAGCTTATTGTAAACTCAGACATTCTAGCCTTCTGATTATAACTGAACTCTGATTTTCTGAATGTTTGAAGTTTAGGGAGTGAGATCAACCGGTTAGTATATATTTGTGAAGAATCTGCTCCCCATGATGGGCTTTGGAGAATAAAAAGTGGACTGTGGGAGTTTGCAGAGAACCATCAGCCTCAGTATACCATACGTATCATGGATAATTGAAGTAATTTTTTTTCACCCACCATTCCAAGAAGTAATCCTGCCATTGCTAGAACCATTTGCAGAAACCTCATTTGAATTGCCTTCAGAGATCCTGTTGAAAATCTGCAGTGTGTGATGAATCACCATTGAGGGTAGTCGGATTTGATTTAGGGCGATAAACAAAAGTCTTTTACCTGTGAGTGATCAAACTGGGTGTTTCTGCATCTGCTCAGAAATAGGTGTGTGCAAGAAATCATAAGATAGATTTTCTGATTATTTCTGTGTAGTTAGTAGTAAGTGGCTCTGCAGGCAGCTTATGAAGGGAAGTCATAGCAGCATCCTCGTCATTCAGGGCCTTGGGGGGATTACATTGATTAGCATCCCTCCCATGGCATATCAATGTAGAAGGACAGTTTATAAAACATACATTTTTCAATTCTGCTTTTAAACCCTTCTGAGTCATTTTCTCTCCCATGTAGTATATAAGATGCATTCTCAATGATTATTTTTTATTGATCAGTCAGAAACCTTGACAATTGATAGAACTGATTATTTTGAGAGTTATTTTTCTCTGACCCTTCCTGTCATTGGTGAAATGGCCAAAGGAGAGAGAAGATCAATAATATCCATAGTTTATGTATAAAAGGTTAATCTGTGGCCCAGATAACCTCTGACAAGGGTTACGTGTGTGCGCGCGGGTGGGTGTGGTTTTTTTTCCCCCTTCTGCTAGAATAATAAATCTGAATTCTTCATTTGGGGAGTGGTTTTGTATTCAGAGGTCAGTTTGTTCATTCATAACTCAGCAGAACTTAATGTACATATCTGTGTGCTAGGTGCTGTTGGAAGTGCTAGGACACAGAGACCGGGGAAATTCAGTCTGCCATGAACCTATTCTTTTGAAAAGTTTAAAAAGATGCTGCCTAGCAGTGAAAATATCTGTTTAGGAATCTCTGCTTTAGCAGGTGACTGACTTCTTTGAAACTTCGGAGTTTGGGGTGGAAAAGAAACTAGTAAATGATCCCTCGAGTTTTTTGACAAAAAATATATTTAAGGTGTACACCTTGATGTTTTGATAAATACACACATTGTGAAATAGTCATTACAATCAAGCTAATCTATCACCTTACATACTAAATAGATTTTTTTTTCCATGATAAAAACACTTAAGATCTCCTTTTTTGGCAAATTTCAAGTATGCAATACAGTATTGTTAACTGTGGTCATAATGCTGCACAGTAGCTCTCCAGGACTTACTCAACTTGTATAACTGAAACTTTGACCAACATCTCCCCATATCCCCATGCACCAGTCTCTGGGAATCACGAATGTATTCTCTGCCTCTGTGAGTTCAACCGTTTTACTGTGAGTTGAACTGTGAGTTCAACTAGGCTGGTCTGCATGTGGAATCATGCAGAATTTTCCTTCTGTGCCTGGCTTATTTTACTTAGCATAACATTTTCCACATTCGTCCATGTTGCTGCCAGTGATGGGATTTCCTTCTTTTGCAGGCTAAATATTTCATGTGCACATAATTTATCCATTCAGCCACTGAAGGCCACTTAGTTTGTTGCCATATCTTGACTATTATGAATAATGCTGCAGTATACACGGGAGTGCAGATACCACTTTAACATAGTGATTTTAATTGCTTTGGATATATACCCAACAGTGGGATTGCTGGATTATGTGAAGTTATATTTCTTATTTTTTGAGGAACCTCCATTTTCTTTTTCGTTGATGGCTGTAACACATTACATTTTCACCAGCAGGGTACCAAGGTTCCCTTTTTACCACATTCTTGCCAGACACTTGTTATCTTTTGTCTTTTTGATAAAAGCCATTTTAACAAGCATGAGGTGATATCTCCTTGTGGTTTCGATTTGCATCTCCCTGATGATGAATGATGTTGAGCACCTTTTCATGTGTTTGTTTGCCTTGTCTATGTCTTCTTTTGAGAAATGTCTTCAGGTTATTTGCCTATATTTTAATTTGCTTGGTTGGGTTTTCTTGCAGTTGAGTTGTAGGAGTTCCTTGCATAGTCTGGGAATTAACCGCTTATTAAATATGTGGTTTGCAGGTATTCCATAGGTTGCCTTTTCACTCTATTGATTGTTACCTTTGCTGTGCAGAAGCTCTTTAGTTTGATACAATCTCAGTTGCCCGTTTTTGCTTTTGTTGCCTGTGTTTTTAGTATCATACCCAAACCTCATTGCCCAGACTAGTGTCAAAAAGCTTTTGCACTGGTTTTTTTCCTAGTAATTGTGCTGTTTCAGGTCTTATATTGAAGTCTAAGCAATTTTGAATTCATTTTTATAGATAGTGTGAGATAAAGATTTAATTTCATTCTTACGCATATGGAAATCAAGTTTTCCAAATATTATTTATTGATGACGTTGTCCTTCTCCATTGTGTATTCTTGTCAGCCTCGTTGGGAATCAGTTCTTTTCTGGCTTCTCTATTGTGTTCCATTGGTCTATATGTCTGTTTTTATGCGAAAATCACCTATACATTTTAATTTAGGTCTAGGAAATCTCTAAGGTTCTACTTCTGCCCAAATTGTAGATATTATTTGCAATTTTCCATGTTTGTTTAATATTTTGAGATAAAGTATATACAACATAAAGCTTACCATTTATGGTTAAAGTTTTTTAACCATTTTTAAGTGTACAATTCACTGGCATTAAGTATATCTGCAATATTGTGCAACCATCACCGCTATTCATTTCCAGAACTTATTCATCATTCTAAACAGAAATTCTGTAGCCATTAAACAATAACTCTCCATTCTCCCCACTCCTCAACCCCTGGTAAACCTCTCTTCTACTTTGTGTCTCTGTGAATTTGCCTATTCTAGGTACCTCATGTAAGTGGAACCATATAGTGTCTGTCCTTTTGTGTGTGGCTCACTAACTTGGCATGTTTTCAAGGTTTGTTCATGTTGTAGTATGTTTCAGAATCTCATTCCTTTTTATTTTTTTGGAGACAGGATCTTGCTCTGTCACTCAGGCTGGAGGAGTGCAGTGGTGTGATCATGGCTCACTGCAGTCTCAAACTCCTGGGCTCAAGCGATCCTTCTTCCTCAGCGTCCTGAGTAGCTGGGACTACAGGTGTGTGCCACGACACCTGGCTACTCTTTTTATATTTGGTAGAGATGGGATCTCACTGTATTAACTAGGCTGGTCTTGAACTCCTGGACTAAAGCGACCTTCCCAAGTAGCTTGGGATTACAGACACACCCCACCACACCCAGCTAATTAAAAATTTTTTTTTTTTTTTGCAGAGACAAAGGTCTTACTATGTTGCTCAGGCTGGTCTCCAACTCCTGACCTCAACCTCCCAAAGTGCTGGGATTATAGGCATGGGTCACCATGCCTGGCCTATGTCACTCCTTTTTATGAATATATATACAGACACATTACTTTTTAAAGGCTGAATAGTCCGTTGAATATATATATAAATCATTTTGCTTCTTCATCTGTTGATGGACATTTGGGTTTTTTCACCTTTCGCCCATTGTAAAGCTACTATGAACATTGGTATACAAGTATTTTGAGTCTTTGCTTTTAATACTTTGAGGAATGTACCTACAAGTAGACTTGCTAGAATTTACTTTTTACTTTGAAATAATTTTACTGGTACAGAAAATTTGCAAAAATAATACAGAGTTCATGTAGCTGATTCTTATGGCAGCTTCTACAAAACTACAGTACAGTGGTCAAAACCAAGAAATTAACATTGGTACCATAGTATTATCTAAACTACAGACTTTATTTGGACTTCACCAGTTTTTCCAGCGAGGTGCTTTTTCTGTTTCTGAATCTGATTCAGGACCCACATTGCATTTAATACCCATGTCTCCTTAGTCTCCTCTGATCTGTGCCAATTCAGTCTTTCACTATCACCCATGACCTTACCCCTTTTAAGGAGCACAGGTCAGCTTTTTGTACACTGTTTCTCAATTTGGATTTGACCGATGTTTTCCCATCAGTCAAATTTGAAGTTAGGCATTTTTGGCAAGAATATCCCAGAAGTGATGTATCCTTCTCAGAACATCACGTTAGGGGGCATATGATGTCAATATGCTGTACTGATTGATCCCAGGTTTCTCCACTATGAAGTTACTCTTTTACTCTTTTCTCTGTAGTAGGGGTAATACTTTGGGGCTATGTTAGAATATCCTGTTTATCTTCAAACTTTTGTATCATATAGCAGTGGATTTGTATAGTATCACATACTATACAAATAAGTACAGTATTTATTGTATCATATAGGAGTGGATCATGTCTGCAACAGTTACTACTGCGGTATTCTGATGGTGATTTTCTGATTCCCTCATGATTTTTTAAATGCATGAAAAGCAAAGAAGCCCATCTCTTTTCTTACTGCAGTTTCTGTATACAAGCCTTTGGGAAATGAATCAAAAGTAGCTGAGATTAAGTTGGCAACTGACACGTTTTTGTTAAAACTGACTCTAAAGGTTTTAATGACACTGTGGCCACTGGGTATTTTTTTTCCCAGAAAAAAAAAAAATTAGGACACTCTTAAACACAATCTGAACATTGCCCAGTGAATGATGTAATGTTACATGGATCAGATCAGCCAGCGTGAAGTTATCAAGAAAAGCATTTCATTGTTTTCTGTCAGTTGCCATCATTTTGTAATTTACTTTTTGCTGAGGTCATGTGAGGTTTTCATTCTTTATGTTGTAAAAAGAGAATAAGCACTGGGGCTGTCACACGGGCATTTGGTTCCTCCTGTCCCTTCATCCCTTCAGATGATTCCACCAGCCCTTAAATGTGACTCTATTAGAGAAACCGTGGGATCCTTTCAATAGTTGCTCAGCAAGTGACCTCACACAGATGACTCCATCAGTCCTAGGCTCCCCCAGGAGGGCAGGATGTAAGTAAAAAGGCTGACCATATTCAGTTGACAGGTGTTTAATGCATCCCCGCAGGGTGGTACTAGTTGCTGCATTGGGAGAATTCATCCATGTACATTTCCTGTTTTCCAGGAGCTCCAAATCTGATATGAAATAGTTATAGGACAAAAGCATAATCAGTGGAAGTGCATGAAGAAATAGCTAAGTGAATTCAGGAGGGGAGTGAACTTGGAGTTGTGCTGGGTGGAGGATGTGCAGGGTTAGCTGCGAAGGGGATAGTGGAGGGGCTGTGCTTTAAAGGAAAAGGAGGAGAGTGGGTCTCAAGCCTGAGAAGCATGAATACTGACAAGCTGGGGATACCCCAAGAAGGTCAGTTTGCTTTATGCAAGAGGGCAGGTTCCATCTGATATCTAGCTCCCTCCAGCAACATCAGACAGCATTGAGAGGGACCAGTGAGCTTGATCTCATGGCCAGGTGGGTCACCCTGTCCTGCTCTGCCAGCTCACAAAAGCCCGTAAAATCCCCGTAACTAAAGAAGCTTTTAATGGGAAAAGAGCTGTCAACAGGTTCATTTCTAAGAATCAAAAATTCCTAGAAATTATCTTTTTTCCTTAGCAAATGGAAACATTGTAACCAGAGTATACATAATTACATAAAACTACCTTTTTGTGCCCATACAAGTCTTTCGTATTAAGCAATATTTGATCCACCTAAATTGATTATATCAACTGCATACATGTCTCTTTGCCTTCATTTGAAGAGAAGAAAAAGTCTGGATATCTAAATGTGGATTTAGCTTGGTTTTTATTTTTGCACCAGACCATTTTTCAAACCATGATGTCTACACAGAGTGGGAAAAGTTCCACAATGCCTTAAGTAATGTGGCTGGTTCAGGTTACATTTTAATATAAATTGGATTTTTATCTTTACATTGGGAAACAGTAGGTTCTTGATCATTATTCTGACATTTTGTAAGCCATTAGAAATACTCTGGCTCCCGGGTTTTGTGTGTGTGTGTGTGTGTGTGTGTGTGTGTGTGTGTGTTTTTCCATAAAGAGAACTCATGTTCTCCTTGGAGATTTAATAGCCATTCTGGAGTAATGTCTCATATTTAATAAGACTTTCATTACTTTTATAAACTATACTCCAGTAAATTTACTGATTCATATACAATGAAGTATCTTAGCTCAGATGGTTCTCAATAAATTAACAAGAAGGAACGTAACATTCAGAGGGGAACTAATTAATCACAAAATGCCTCACTCATAAAGTTAAGTAACCTTCAGTAAATGTAAATGAATAAAAGGATAATAGCTCAGCATTTCGTATTTTCCAAGTGCTTGAAGCAACCTTGTAAATAAGCAGAGACCTTAAAAGGCAGGAGAGGAGGGAGATTGCTGACATGTAAATTACTAAATAGTGACATTAATGACAACTTTAACTTACCCTGATTCCGTCAGAAAAACTAATTAGTTCTCCAGGCCATAAAATGAAAATGATGTGACATTTTGCTCATCTTCAGAAAATACAGGCATAAATTCACTCCTGAATTTAGGTTGGCAAGTTTTAAGAACTGGATTAAAAAGCTGGTGTTTACATTGGGCTTTCGTCTTAAGAACCCAAAGACATCCTTTAAAATTGTCACCTTCCTTTTTATCCAAAGCTAAGAAGTTGTTGAAGGACCTGGATTTGAAGTTGGCTCTTCTCCTTTACAGCTGTGTGGTCTTGGGGGAAATGTAATCGCCTCTCAGTCTCAGAATCGTCATTGATACATAAATAAACCTGAGAAATAACATTTGTGCAGGCGATTAGCAGGACTCCTGGCCCAGCCTAGGGCTTCCTTGATAAGTGTTGAATCCAAAACATGTGCAGAGGAAAAAAAATGGAAGTTTCCTGAGCTCCATGGGCCTGCAGAGAGTCTGTGGCTTTCATCACTGACCATAGAGCTGAGCCGAGGAAGAGGGCACCTGTCAGGAGGGCTGGAAACTGAAGAGGCTGATGACAGGCTGCTGCTGAGTAGAGGCCCAGATAACCTGTAGCCAGCAGAGGCTCACTGCTGGGCCAGGGACTTGTCGGGCTTCCTGCCTTGAATAGTACATGCATGCTCTTGTGTGGTAGGATACAAAGAACAGTGGCTAAGGGAAAGGTGGAGGGGTGCCAGTTATTTCCTCCAGCCCTCTGAGTATCCTGGAGTCTGAGGAAAAGAGGAGGGCCAGCTTGACCTCCAAAGCAAAGGCGTCAGCATTGCCAGACCCAGTATTTCCTATTATAAATATGAGATGAAATTTGTAAATTATATAACCTTGCCTATGTGTGTAATTTCAAAAGAGAATAATTCTCTAACTCAAATGTAAAGGAGAAATAAAAGGAAAATAATTCCTAATAAAGCAGTACATATTTCAGCATTATGGAGTCAAGAACTATACTGTCCCATACCCAAGAGCTATACCAGGCACTATGATGCCTTGTTCCTCCTCACAGTGAGTGTTTTCATTTAAAAGGAGTGAAACATTCCGCTGAATATGGTCAGCCTTTTTCCTTACAATTGACATTGTGAAGGAGGAGCGAAGCCTGAGTGTGTTTACATATACCCACATATAAACAGAACTGCCAGTAATGTGATAGCTCCAAATATAGACTAATGTGGGTAGGTTTTACTGAAGACTCTGACATCCTCAGTGGCATTGACTTTGCTGCTTTGATCTTTCTGAAATGCTGACAGCTCTTTGGTGACGTTTCAGATAAAACACAGCAGAGACATTGCTTCATTTACACGATTATGTGATTATGTCTGTGGATAATTCACTGTATGTTTGAACTGTCAAAAAGTTAGATTCTGGCTGGGCATGGTGGTTCATGCCTATAATCCTAGCAGTTGGGGGTGCTGAGACAGGCGGATCACTTGAGGCCAGGAGTTCAAGACCAGCCTGGCCAACATGGTGAAACCCCATCTCTACTAAAAATACAAAAACTTAGCCGGGTGTGGTGGTTCACACCTGTAGTTCCAGCTACTCAGGAGGCTGAAGCAGGAGAATCGCTTGAACCCAGGAGGCAGAGGTTGCAGTGAGCTGAGATCGTACTACTGCATTCTAGCCGGGGTACAGAGCAAGACTCTGTTTCAAGAAAAATAAAAAGCTAGACTCTGTAAGCCCATGTGAAAGCCCTGCAGGGCATTTGGAAGTTTCATGGGCAGTGGACAGTTCTTCCTGTGCAGGATTGTCCTTGCACATTGTGAAGCAGCTTCTATCCCTAGTTCCCACCCACAGACTAAGGTAACACTCTCCAGTTATTATGGTAGCTGAAAATGCTCTCACATGTGTCTAAAATGCTCCCTTTACAACATGACCTTAAAGGGGTATGAGGATAGAGATGGAAACAAAATCAGGGGATAAATTTAACTGTATTAAAGAATGGACTCAATTAAGCACAGTGGCTTGTGCCTGTAATCCCGGCAATTTGGGAGTCTGACACAGGAGAATTATTTGAGGCCAGGAGTTTGAGACCCACCTGGGCAACATACAGAGACCCTGTGTATACAAAAAAAAAATACTGTTTTTAATTAGCCAGGCATGATGTGCGCATCCGTAGTCCTGACTACTCAGAGTGCTGAGGCAAGATGATCTCTTGAGCCCAGGAGTTTGAGGCTTCAGTGAACTATGACTGGGCAACAGAGCAAGACCCTTTGTGGGGGGAGGAAAAAAAGAAGAATGGACACTTCATGAATTAAAGAATTGTCACGGTTCACACTTGGTTTCTTTGACCACACATTGTTTTTCGAATAAAACCTCCTTTAGGACAAAAACTGACATTCCTTGTTTTTCTGAATATTATGCTAATAATTATTCCTGAAACCATTCTAGAAATTCTGTGTATTTCTGATGGTATCATTTTTTTCTGTCACCTTTTCTATGCACCATGACTTAGCCTCCTGGGACTTTACAGCCTTGATTTTTCTTGTAATTGTCTATGCTGACCTGTCTGTCTTAGCCAGGATAATAGATACTGGTTTGATCTATTAATAGGTGATTTTCAGGGCTGGGTTCTGGGGTAGAAGAAATTGTTCATCATTTCTTGGTGTGATGTTGGGGGTTAAAGCCACCTGTAGCAGCTTCCTTGTCACCTGGTTGTGACATTATCTTATTTCCAAGTGGGATTCAAGATACAGAACCATCACTGTTTTATTGTTATCTGCTTATGGATGGTTTTGATCATCAAAGGGAAGGATACAATGTCTTGTTACCTACACAACTATAACTCAGTACCGTAAAAAGCGTAGCACGCTGTCTAGCACAGAAAGTTATTTTAAAAATCGCTTGTGAGACTGAGGTGTTTGCTTCTTTTCCAGCTGACATCCCAGCATCCTTACGCTGAAGTTTTCATCGGGCGGCCACATGTGTGGACTGTTGACCTCAACAATCAGGAGGAAGTAGAGGATGCAGTGAAAGCAATTTTAAATCAGAAGGTTGGTTTCTTTTATTCCACTTTCCCTCATTTCTAATGTGACCTGAAATGTGTATAAAGCATCATAGGTCCTTGGTTTTAATGAACAGATCTTTACCACATCAGCTTAACCCTAGAATTAGAAAATAACCAAGCTATAGGATTTGGCCTGGGGATTTCATGAATGTTCTGTGAATTGGAAACAGAGCTGGTGTCCTGATGTGTGCCTGGATCCCAGGCACAGGAGCAGGATCTGGAGTCATACTTGGTTCAGTGATCTGATTATGTTGCTCTCACAAAGATCTGAAAAGATAGCCCTGCTTCCTCTACAAAAGAGAGAGAAGTGCAAGGAAATACTGGGGAATGTTTTTATAGAACATCTGTTTTGTTTTGGTTTTTTTTCTACCTAAACATGTAGTAGAATTTTGTAAAAGTAACTACATTTCTGGCCTCTTCTGATCAATTCAGCAGACATTTGTCAGGTGCCTGCCATACACAGAGTGCTCTCTGAGTCACCTGGGGTTGTGGAGGGGGCGGGGTGTTTACTTCCACAAACACAGAGGAGGGCTGGCTTCCCACCTATCAGAAGTTTACCATCCAGTAAAGAAGAGTTCAGTTATCCTTTCTCCCAATCTGAATCCGCCATGGACTCTCACAGGTGCACTCTGCTGCTATACTTTGATGGGAGCACTTTTTACACTTGGTTATGATGCTTTAAGAGAAGCCAGTGTAGGCATGTGGGAGGGCAAGCTGGACTTATAGTGTGGGTTCAGTTCTAGCTCTACCACTTACTAGCAGCTTCCTTTCATGTGTGACATAGGGCCAACATTACCATTTGATTGGTTACTTGTGAGGAGTAAATGAGATAATGTATATAAAGTGCTTAAGTTCAATGTCTACTATATAGTGTTTAGTCAGTATTAAGTATTATGATTTTTGTCAATAGTCTAAATTTCTACTACACCATTAGCAACATGAAGTCAGGATATACATCTGTCTCATTTCTGTATTACCAGTGCCCACACAGGGATTTACCCAATGGATAGATGGGAGAGAGGAATAGATGTCTGCAAGTAAGCATAATACAAGGCTGAATATGTTCAGTGCCAAAGCAACATGCAAACACTCCAGGAGTGGAAGTTGGGGAAGCCTTTCTGGAGAATGCAACCTTTTAGTTAAGTCTTACAGGATGAGGAGTAATTTGCAAAGTAAAACTGAGAAGTGGACGCAGAAGGGCATGGGTTCAAAGCGCAGTGTGACTGAAAGGGAAAAGGCTGAAAAGGCATATGTCCTGGGAAGGATAGTCAGTGTGCCCATGTGGAGGCCATCTTACCCCTCTGGGAAACAGAACAGGATAATCAGTTTGTGGCCCACTGAACTGCTGATTTCAGTTAATTCAGAACATCTCCAGAGGAGGGAGGGCACTCTGATGCATTATCTGTGCTCTGCCTGCTTCAAGGTGGTCTGTTTGGTGTCAGCTTCCCATTGATGATACATACATTCCCAATCCCAGTCTCAGCAGTTTGGGTAGAAGTCCCCGACCTCAGGAGACCAAGCTGATGAAAGAAGCGCCAAATAGAGTGTGGTTCCTATAGGCTGCCTCAAAATATCTGTCACACACCTAAAGCTTCACCACCGGAGTCATTCCTATGGAAGGACGAAGGTTCTTCTTTCTTGATTCTCCCAGTCCCTTAGCTTATAAGCTTCCTGAGGCTGCCGTAACACAGTAGTGCAAGCAACTGAGTGGCTTAAAACAGCAGAAATTTATTCTCTCTGTTCTGGAAGCAAGAAGTCTGAAGTCAAAAATGTCAGCAGGCTCACGTCCCGCCCACAAAGTCTCCAGCTGGATATCCTCCCTTGCCTCTTTCAACTTCTAGTAGGCCTAGGCATTTCTTGTCTTGCAGCGTCAAAAGTTTGATCTCTGCCTCCATTATCCTATGGCTTCTCCCTGTGTGTGTCTCTGTCTTTTCCTTTTATACAAGATTAGGGCCCACCCTCATTCAGTGTGACCTCATCTAACTTGGTTACATCTGCAAAGACCCTATTTCCAAATAAGATCACATTCATGGGTGCTGGGGGTTAGAACAGCATATCTTTTAAAGGGGCACAATTCAATCCACAACACTTAGTTAATGCCTGTACTCTTGAGGAGAGTCATTTAAAAGCTGAGGTAGAAGCAGAAAAGAAAAACACACTAAGATACATTATAATCAAACTGCTGAAAGGCAAAGATAAGGAAGAAAACCTTGAAAGCAGCCAGAGAAAAATATATTACATTTAGAGGAATAATGGTATTAACACAGCCAACTTCTCATCAGAAATAATGGAGACCGTAAAAGGGTCCTCAGGAACCGGAATATGTGTGGGGCCTTTCAAAAGGCCATGGTAAACGTTCAGGTTTTTTTTTTCCTCTTTTTTGGGTTTGGTTTTTTTTTTTGTGGATGTGGTTGGTTTTTTTGTTGTTTGTTTAAGTGTTCAGGATTTTTTTATAAGTGTGATGGGAAGTTTTGAACAGGGTGATGAGATGACCTAGTGTACATTGGAAATCGTGAAGAGAAATTACAGATTCTGCTTACTTAAAATCCTATGGTTAGTAAGCGGAGGAGCCATGAGTCAAACCCTGGCCTCCTGGTACTTTCTAAGACCATTTCGTATTGAATGATGCCAAGCCACATCTGTCAGGTCAGACCATAGAGGGCTTCTCATGGAGGCTCATCTTTGAAAGCAGTTGCCTGTAGAAGTTGTCCCTGACTTGGAAAGGTGAGTCGGTACTAGTGGAGACAGGAAATCACACAAGAAGGGAGGTCAAGAAGAGAAAATGGAGGGGAAGATAAGGGAATGTTTCCAAGGTCAGCAGAAACTTCACAGTGCAATCTGCAGGCATCCTTCCTGTGGCCCTCGCCATATGATTAACAGTCCTTTTTTGTTTTGTTTGTTTTTTTTTTTAACAAAGCAGGATGCCCAAGAATACTTCCTTGCTTCTCCACAGCTGGCCTAGCTTGGGTTTCTCAATGACTGGATGTGATTTAGCATTCTCCTTCATTCTGTCCCCCAGAGAGGCCTTCACTTGTTCCTAAACAACTTTTATGCAGAAAACTGCCCACTCTTCCAGCCCCCAATTCACATAACAGGTCTCACTTCAGAGGCTTGCTAGGACTCTGAAGAGCTTTCCAATGCAGAAGCCCCTGCCTGCCCTCCCCCACAGGGTCCAGCAATATAGACCTACCTTCTGACTCACCGACTTCCTTCCGTCCGTCCATCACTCCATCCCTCCATCCCTCCATCCCTCCATCCCTCCATCTCTCCATCCCTCTATCTCTCTATCCCTCCATCCCTCCATCTCTCCCTCCCTTTTGCTTTTCTTGTATAGGAAAATTGTTTGCTTCATATCCTTTAAAACAGTGAATGGCCCCAAAGCAATGAATGAGTCAACATCCCTTTGGTTAAAGTGGGCTGGGTTGGTAGGAGAACAGAGGAAGAGCCATTTTTCTGTGTTTTTGGCTTTGAACACTTTGAATTAACTTTCTTTCATTTTCTAATGGATTCCCTTTGCAAATGTTGTTGGAATGGCACTTGGGTACTCGGCATGCTTCCTAACATAACTAAATCTGTTCATCTCATGAAAGATGACCATAGATGTTTATTTCACTATACAAATCCTACTTTAACACTGATAAATGAACCCAGATATGCCATGTTCTTTGTTTTAGATCGTTCCTTCTATGAATGTTTGAGAGGAAACTTATCTCTAGGCCACCAATAGAAAGCTTCTGGAGTCACCCTTGGGTTGACTAAACATCTTTTAAAAGAAAAGAAAAAAATTTGCATTTTGTGTGAAGGGCTGTGTCTGGGTTAGATAGAGAAGGAACAGTAAGTTCAAAAGCTTGAGTTGACAAGGAACAAACTGAGAACTTGAAAGTCAATTCTTCTGAGTATTTTGAGATCTTCAGAGATGAGCTGTTTAGGAATAGAGTGACCTCTTTTTTCTTGTAGAATAGTCTGCATGATATTACAGTATTTACGGCTCAGCCTCTTTTAGCTCTATTCAGACAGCTGTAGGCCACTGTGGCCCACATTTGTGCATTCGTTCAGCATTTGAAGACAATTAAGATTTCTGAAAATCACTGTTGAAGATTTCGATGTAATGTGTGATTTGGCACACAAGAAAGGGGGAGACAATGCCCTGAGACCAACTCCTTGGCTGCCACTAAGGAATGTTATTTCTGTTCATTGTCCCATTTTCAGCAAGCTTCAACTATAGATGTTTTGCCTAGTTCTCCACCCTGTAGATTCCAGCAAAGACTTTAGAGATAGCTAGTGAAGGTGCGCCCCCTGCCCCACCACCCCAGTCTACGCTATTGCTGAGAGGAGCTGTTGAGCTCCCTGAAGCAATAATAGACTATATTGCTGGTGATTTTCTCCCAAATGAAATTTCCATTTTAAGTTGGTAATACTCCTGAAAACACAGGCCTCATAGTGTTGGCAGACACTGTGCAGCAGAGATCAAACCCACATTTCTTCCCCTTCTCTAAGGTGTCACAATATTGATAAGACTGCCTCCTCTACCCTAATGAAGCATCCTCTAGAGTTTCCTACTCCCCTCAAATTAAATTGAGGCTCTTTAGTATAGAAATCTCAAGGCTTTTCTGGAAATTCAGTGAATTTTCCACCTCGTCTCACCAGTTACCATAATACTGAGCTGCAGTTACCTACTGTCCTTTCATGTTAGAGACCACACTACTTGTTCACCAAGGATGTCTTCAGCATCTTGGCCCTCCCCAGTTTGGGCTTACTAGACTCACAGCCTGCCTTAAAAGCCCAGCATGAGTAGAAGTCTGCTTTGACCCTCTAGCCTCCCAGGACCCCCTAGCTGAACTCCTTGTGACACTTTATCACTTTATTTTTGCACCCTGAGCTCTTTGGGTACAGGCTAACCTCACCTACAAATACAGACCAATGCTTTTGTCACTGTCATAGATCCTTCACCTGCTCATTGTTGCCTTAGAGCAGTGACCATGCATTCATTCAACAGATGTTTGCTAATTTCCTACATGTGCCACACTATGCTCACCACTAGAATGTAAAGATGACCCAACAGCATGGACTCTGCCCTGTGGAACTTACCTGCTAGCAAGTGATAACTTCCATCTTTTGTTGAATGCCCACTAGGTGCTAGTCACTAAACTAAGCACCCTTTTTCTCCCAGATAATCCCTGCAGCTTAAAAGAGGTGAGTTTTTCATATCACCCTTTTACATATGAGGAACCTGAGACTTAGAGATGGCAAGTCGTTTGCTCAGAGTCCCACACCTAGTAAGAATCAGCGTGAGATCACGACTTGCAAGTCCACAGTCAACCCTCATGAGGCCGCCTCCTGGTGTTAGCACCCGTATATTGAGTGAGTCAGAGGACTGGGGAGGTGCTACATGTTCTCTATCCTTCTCCTTCATGGCATCATGTTCTGTTTCCACAGATTGAGCCATACATGCCATATGAATTTACATGCGAGGGGATGCTACAGAGAATCAATGCTTTCATTGAAAAACAGGTAAGGCTTATCAGAAGTCAGTCTGTCTTTGCTGTGTACTGCTTCCTGTGACCCCATAGGGCTCTCAAGAACACTTAAGAGCTCACTGTGTTTCTGTGGCTATTTTCCTGCTTTGGGAGACTCTAGGAGCTGGATAATAGTAGCACTGTCATGGTCACCCAAGAGAACCAGTATTCCCTTGGAGTAGGTATGTTCTTGATGACATGTAAGGTGAAATGGAAACTTACAAGAGAGATGGGATGATTACTGTGAAGATGCCCCTGACCCTCAGGGTCTGTGCCCTGAGTGGGTTCTGAGACCCATTAGGAAGACTTGGGACGGGAGGGGTCAGACAGCTTTCTGGTCCTGCCCCATCTTCATTTGTCACCTTAAGAAAGGCAAGAATTGAAACCAGCTGTTTCTAAGCATTATTTTAATAAAACATGTTCAGCAATTCTAAATGTAAGGACTTTTTAGAGGAAAGCAGGACCCTTTGTCAAATGAAACCTTATAAGTATATAAAACAGATAAAAAGCAGTAAAAAGCAGGACAAAGCCAAGGAGGGTGCCAAGAGTCCCACCTTCCCCAACAAAGTTGGGAAACTGCAGCATGTGCTCCTTGAAGTAAAGACCAGGAGCCTGTTGCTGTCATTTTATAGCATTTTAATTCCTTGGACTTCAAAAGCAACACAGAGCTAGAAATAGACAGACTCAGAACCCCTGTGGGTAGGAGAATATGAACTCTTTGACTAGATTCCAGAAATAAGGTGCTCTTCTTAAAGGATAAAGCATTTTTTAAGGCAATCAAGGGATCTTTACACAATAGGGGATGAGGATGGTGCAAGCTGAAAATAGAAATGGTGTATTGAAAATCTAAGTAGGCCCAAGGTGGGCTTCAAAGGAAGAGTTGGTGGTTTGAGGAGACTGAAACTGTGGCGAGCCGCCAGCAGCCCTGGGTGCTGCCGTTGGAGCTGGGAGCCTTGGTCATATCCTTTGGGGCGGTGTGTCTGATATGCTGAGCTTTTGTTAGCAGCAAGAGGGCATGCTCTGCAGCCTGGCCATGTGGGTTTTACTCCTGGCACCATGTGTTTCTATTTATATGACTTGGGCATGTTACTTGGCCTCTCTATGCCTTACTTTCCTTGTCTGTAAAATAAGGATAATGCTAATAGGACCTACTTCATAGGGCTGATGTGAGGATCGAATGAGCTAATACGTACAAAGTGCTTAGAACACAGCCTGGCACATACATAGTGCTCAATAAATGCAAACTGGTACTGTTGATTATTTAATACATTATGCTATATTGTATTGTAATACACTACTTTTTAATATAATTATCTGGTTTCACGAGAAACCATTTGAATCTTTATCTCATTCAGCCTTTATATGACACCAGAGTGATAGTATCATCACAACTCTAGCAACCACATCCATACAGATTTTGTGCCAGCGTGTGCCTGACACATCATAATATATCATTTAATTCTCACAGTAATTCCAGGAGATGGTAGTATTAACCCCATTATCTGGGTGGTGGAAACCAAGACTCACAGTTAGAGGCTCACAGATTGTGGAATCAAGAATTGATACTGGTTTGATATGAGGCCAAGTCTGCACCAACAGTGCTTACCAGGACCTCAGGAGACAGAAGGTGTCCAGAGCTTTGCTTCCCATCTTCTTACGTCATCAAGGGCTGCTCACCCTTCCTGCAGCTGCAGGGAAGAGTTGCAGGGCCTCCTTCAATTGTAGGTCTTAAGACATCACAGCTCTTGCCACCATCTCGGCAGCTCTCTTGAGATCATACTAGGATCCCTGCAGCTTCTGCTGAAACCCTCTTTGCCTGTCTCCACTTCCTCTTAGGGAAAATAGTTACCCAACCACCAGGCATAAATGACTCTTGATCAGGTTTATTTGAAGGCTTTTATTTCTCCCCTGAGGCTCAGGAATCCCAGCTGGTCTTTAAAAGTTATCAGGTCCTCTGCAAGTCTTGCTGGGTTTCCTTTCAAACAGGAAGGTCCTGTTCCCCAAATAGACCTTGCTAAATGCTCCATAATGCAGAGGCTCCACCTGGCTTCACCTCTGTATCCCTAGTAACCTGCTGGACACATGGTTGGTGCACAGTAACTTCCAGGTGACAGAAACAAGGAAGGAAGGAGGAAGGGAGGGAGGGTGTGCTTTTTATTCCAGTGTGTCAGGAACCAGGAAGCTCATCCTGGACTTTATGATTTGTGTAATATATGTTACCAAAATTGTTTGCTGGAAAGCATGCTAATAAAACTGCACACCCCCCACCCCCACCATATAGGCCTTTCTGCAGAGATCTGCAGTTCACAGAAATCCAGAGGTTTCTTTTTTGCCTGCTGTTGTTGATTCATTCCTCTACTCTGAATATTTGTCAGCTGGAGCATGCCATGGGCTGTGCAGTCAGTTGGGGAGGAGAATATCTCCAAGTCCCCATCCCTGCCCTCAAGTAGCTGCAAGTTTCATGGAGAAGGCAGCCAAGTCCGCAGGCAGTAACTGCCACTGCTATAGGTTCACCCTGGTAATAGTGAAGTAACAGGATGCTTTGGGATCATATGGCCCAGCCTGCAGAGGGAAGATGGGGGAGAAATGGTAGAGTGTATCCGAAGGCATCTTGCAGGAGGTGAGTCCTGAAGGCAAACTGGTAGCACAGATGGAAGGCTGGACAAGTCCAGATATAAAGGCCTGGAGATGTGGGGAAAATGTCATGGGGAATGATAGGCACTTGACTGAAGAGAGGGATGAGGTAAGAGACCAGGCTGGAGGAGGAGATTGCAGAATGTGAAAAGATGCTGAGGCTCGGCTGAAGAATTCCAGTTTGATTCTGGGATAATAGGAAGCTAAAGAAAGGCTTTGTTGCAGACTAAGGGGCAGTGGAACTATCAGATTGGTGCTTAGAAAAATCATTCCAGGAATCTTGTTTTAGGGGCATTTTTTATTAAACATTCTCCAAATGCTCCTAAATGAGCAATAAAGGGGGCCTATTTTGAGTTTATCTCAGAGATTCTGTTAAACCCAGAATGTTCCCCTGATGCCAGAAGGAAGATAGGAAGCCAAGATCCCATTGGTTCACAGATTGAGTCTTCTACCTCTTTTAGCTCCAGACCCCAGTGTTTTATAGGTTGGAGTATTCATTATTTTTTGCAACTAGACGAGTATCTTCAAAGGGCAGCGAGGATGGAGAGGAAGTTTTCCTGGTATGAACAAGAAAGCCTGCAGCTCCTAGGAGGCCCTTCCCATCCCTTGGATGGTAGGAGCCCTGCAGCCCTAATTAGGCTGATATCTGCCTTCAGAGTTCTCCATGTGATCTGCAAGGAGAACACAGAAGCTTTTACTCCAGAAACCTTTCAGGGTTTTCCGTCACGCTCAGCCAAGGCAGTGGGAACCAGAGGGAGCCAACAGACAGCAATCGAGGGCACTCCGGGCTTCAGTGTGCAGTTGAGCAGTTGCCAGCCGGAAACCCACCTCATACCCAGCCCTCCCTGTGTGCAGGCACCCAATGAGAAAGACTCCTGGATCTAGGAAAACCACTTGCTCTTTTCTCTTAATGTCCCCGCTTCCTTTACTGTATTAAAAATGTTGATTCAGAGTGCATGCTCTTTTAAATCAGCTTTCTCAGAGAGATGCTGTCTCTAGCAGGGGGAAATTCTTTGTAATCTAAGATCAAGCACCATTGTTCCCTATCTTGAGTATGTCTGGGCTTGTTAAGGTTTTCGTTATGCATTTCTTGGGAAAGTCTTTTGTATTAGCCTCAGGTCAGAGAGTATAGCAGGACTTTTTTGAAGGAATGGCAATTTCAGATTAATTTATTAAAACCATACATATGCTCTTGAGTTCTATTTTCTGTTTCCTGTAAAGACACTGTAAATGTATAGGATGGTCACAGCCATGTTAATTTGTAAAGAGCTATGTGATTCATGGGAAAAGCATTCTGGAGAGATGGAGGGTAAAAAAAGAGTTAACTCCAAGAATGGCTGTGGAATCAGCTGAAGGTCCTAGGATGTGTATTCATCAGATTCCAAAATAAGCCCACTATGGAGTGTTGTAGATGCAAGGATTGTAGTGTTGTAGATGCAAGTGTTGTAGATGTTATTATGAATCTGGATAGTCCAAGGTGGGAGAAATGGTAGAGGTGACAGATTGCAAGGAAAGAGGGAGAAATTGAAAAGGGAAGAAGGTTGGTACTAGCTTTAGGAATGTTTACTCTTGAGAAATAAACAGCTTTTGTTTACCCAGCCATTCCTGTACCCAGACAGACTAGGCAGGTAATGATTAAGCACTGAACCCTAGCAGCTGACTGCCTGGGTTCACATCTTAGCTCTGCTTGCCACTGTGTTTCTGACCTTGGGCAAGTTACCTAACATCTCTGTGCTCTTTCCTCTTCTGAGAAATAGGGATAATGCAACCTACCCATCAGGCTGGTGGAAGAAAGGGTAGTTTGATAATGTTTAGCACTAAGAACAATGTCTGGCCCATGTAGGTGCTCTCAAAGCCTTCACTACAAGTTGCCGCAGGAGCCCAGAAACCGACTAAAGTGTGTTTTTCAAACTGGCTCACTGAGGTATAATGTACAGACCATAAAGTTCACCGCATATAAGGATGCAAGTCAATGATTTTTTTTTTTTTAGCAAATTGTTAGTGTTACACAACTACCACCACACTCTAGTTTAGCAGCATTTCCATCACCCCAAAAAACTCATTTGTCCCTGTTAGCAATCAATCCTTGCTCCCACCCCAGCCCTAGGAAACCACTGATCTGTTTCCTGCCTTTTTAGATGAGCCTTTTCTGGAGATTTCTGGTGTCTTTCACTTAGCATGATGTTTTGGGGGTTCACCCATGTTGTTAAATGTGTCAGAACTGATTTTATTGCTGAATAGTATTCCATGAATGGATAGATTAATACTACAATTTGTTTATCCATTCACCAGTTGATGGGCTTTGGGGTTATGTCTACATTTTGACTAATGTGGTAGGTGCTGTTGTGAACATTCACATGC